TGGATGCTGGCAGGAGGGAGGATGGGTCTCTGCATCGGTCTGTGCGTGGGGCAGCAGCAGGAGAAGTACCGAGTGAGGCAGGAGAGAGGCTGCTGCATTCGGAGGCAGAAGCAGCTTTGCTGACAGCTCCTAAATAAATAATTAGCTAGCACTTTGAAATTAGAGGTCATATGCAAAACGGGTAGAGTCTGGGCTCGGGTGCTGCCAGGCAACCCTAGTCACACACAAGAGGCACGGTGATTCCTCGGGAGCTTCAGCATCTCTATTACAGCCTCTGAAGTGATAACGAATTCAGATATGCCTTGTCCCTGTGCTGACTTTTTGTCTTTGAGTGCCTTGCTGTAGTTGCTAATGAAGATTTCTCGTAATAAGCCAGTTACACGGATTTTCAAAAAATACAAAATGACAGAGTGTTTTTCTAATGAGTTAAAAGCTAATAAATATCAGACAACTCTTCACTGTGAGAGCTCTGCCAGGACAAAAAGTGTGTCTAGAGACTAATGCAGGAATATAGTTAGAGTTTTGCCTGAGAAAAAGACTAAAGAAAAAATGATAGCAACATCTATAATATACCCAGCCCCAAATCCTCTTCGGAGCTCCCTCCCAATTTCAAATGCTCAAGGAAAAACAAAATACCTGAATGAAGATTATCTATCCAACCATAATTCATTCTGTTTGTGAGCATATATTACACAGCCTGCAATTACGTGAGCATTTCCATTCAACTGATTACATTTTGAGTAAGTTTTAAGCAAGAGCCAAGGAGGTCTTAAAATAAGGTCTGCTAGGCAACTGACCACAAGCAGCACAAAATGTGTTGTCCCTGCCAGTGCCTTCTAGAGACACCATTAGGTCAGTCAGTCAGCGGAGGTGTTGATTAAACACTAAGGCACCCCCAGAAATACCGCAGCAACACAGGGTGCCCAGCGCCCTGAAGGTACACGATGCTGCCGCTCAAAAAGCAAGACAGCAACCAAAGCATGAAAGGATGGTCCCGTTCCCAACTGAACTGAGGGAGAGAAAGCAACGCAAAATGAGCAAAGCAGCAAGCACCTAAACTAACTTGGATGTCCTGTTTCTGACTCTGCTTTTATGCATATGCACGACCACAAAGCAGCTGGCACTTACCATGCTCATCCAGTAAAATGTTGTCAGGCTTGATGTCTCTAGGAAAAAAAAGGCAGAGAAGGGGAGACAGCCATTAGCCTAGAAAAGTGACATGAAACACGGCTGTAGACACTTTAGGAAAGCCCAGGCTCTGGGGGGGGGACACACTGCCAGAGACATCGTGCCCTAGAAGGTGTCTTTGCTGGGGCTCTTGAGCTCTGATGCTCCTGCAGAGTTTGATTTAGGCATAAGAGAATGACTAATCGAACAACAAAAGCAGAAATGGTGGTACAGGGCTTCACAGGGCTACAGCTACGGCTGTGAAGGCTGCTGTGGTTTGGTCTAGCAGCACCCAGGTAGTCCACCTACAACGTTAGAGCTTCTTTGTATCTTTTTCCTCCTTTTACTTCTTAATCTGTTTCAATACTATCTTGAGAGCTGTTCCCCATTTACTCAGTAAAAATCAAATGATTTTAACATCTTTGTTCTGGGAACAAATGGGTTCCCCACAGGTTTTGTTCCTGAATAAAAAAAAACCCAAACAAAATAATAATGCAATGCTGCAGGGAAATGCTTTCCCTTGAAAGGAGAAACGTACACCTGATATGCCTACTGTATCCACCTGAGGGACTTTACAAGACATCACCTGGTTTTAATGAGCTAATTACATCACTCCCCATTCACCTGCTATCAGCCTGAGCCAGGCACCTGGCAATTTAATGCACCATAAGGAGATCGTCACGTACACAAGGCAGGCACACGTGCAACAACCCCGCACTGTCCTGATGCTTCCCAGGGCTTCAAAGGGAAGAAAAGAGCAGGTTTAGGATTTTATCTTTAAAAATGCAATCACTAAGATAAAGTTTGAATTCACCTAGCCATCCGGAATCAAGAGAAGACAATATATCTAATTATCATGTAATAGCTCACAGTTCGCTGGCATCTTCTCACCCAAACTACCTCCAGTGGGTTATAAATACCAGTTATGTTCCTTGTGCCAGTCCCCATCACACAGGTAACCACAGGGACAGGCGTCTTTATCAAGAGAGAACAGCTTCAGGTAAGCGGCTGGTTTTCCCCGTAAGTGCAGCAAAACTGCGCCACAGGTTAGAGCCAAACAGTCCAGCTGGTCAGAGGCACTGTATTTGACAGCGAAAAATGGTGATGCCACACTTGGTATTTTTGAGAAAACACTGATTTAAGTGAAAACGTTAAGAAATGTTTCAGAAAAAAAGAGTTTGAAAAAAATGGATTCTTTGAATCCCTTGATACAAAAATATTTTCAAAGTTTTGAAATGAACCATAAAGACAGGTTTTCATTTCTCATCCAGCTTTCAACCTTTTTTAAAATTATTATTTTTTTTATTTCCACTGGGGCCTTTTCTGATCTCACGCAGTCTGGTATGCAGCCTATGGAATTACAACAGCACAGCGAGATCATTCCCAGGATGCAAACAATGAACAGGGATCATTTTGTTTATTGATTATTTGTGTATTTATTTTTTATAAACTGGTTACACCATTTCCCAGCCTGAAAAAATTAACAAATATTTCCTACTCTTCTCCACATAGGTGGGAAATAATTCCAGCCATCAGTCTGTGTTTGCTGCCTCTGCACAGCTTTGTTCAGACAAAATAAGCAATTGCTTGCCCGTCTCCTGATGTTCCCAACTACAGATGTTGCAGTGTAATTGACTCAGCTGAGTCACTTTATCAATCTAATACTGTCCCACTGGGTTACAGTGTTAATTAAACAACTTTCATTACAGTGTTAATTAAATAACTTGCAAATTTTACAGACTGTTGTACATGTTTTGTTGTACTCGATTCACCTTAAACACATATAGCTGCCTGTAATACACATCGCAGCCTAAATTTTAGCTTCTCCCCCCTACATTTGCAAATAACCCTGTGGGAAATCCCGGGAGTTTTGCCCCTTGGCTGTCCTCTTCGTACCTGCCCTTACGCCGCAGCCGTAGCGGGACGCCAGCCCACCCTGCGGCGATAGTGCTGACGGGCACGCGACTGCAGGGACGTGGCTCAGAACAGGGACGGCAGCTCTCCCTTAGCTGTCACATCTGTCATCGTTATGAGGAACAGTCTCCTCCTCATGCAGACTTGTTCTGACAGCATCGAATTGTGAAGAATCTCCAGCCCATCAGTCCTATAAACACTACTACTAATTGTAATACATTACTAATAGAGAGGGATTTCTTCCTTGTGCTTCCCTTAGGCCTGTGCCCCACTCAGTTTGTTCAGGCCAAGCCAACAGCGTGAGGATTTACCCCTCGCTGCCCAGGACAGAGACAGCCGAGTCTGCATTTCACGATGTTTAATTCATGCTCATCCATTATTTGGTGCCGGTGAGCAGGTGCCGGGCGGAGGCGGCCAGCGCAATGCCCCTGTCACCGCACCCCGGCTTCGTGTCCCGGACCACAGCAGTGCCCGTTGGAGCCTGATCGGGGCAGCTGGGATGGCCGGCCTGCCAAGATCAGGTGCATCAGAGTAGAAATCTATGCAGGTATAAAATAAAACAAGCAGCATGAAAGATGAGACTCCTGAGAAAGTGGGAGCTATCCCCAAGGAGGTCTAGCTCCAACCAAAGCAGAGCAAAACCTCTCTGGAGCTCTGGGGCTCTCCACAACTGTGCAGGGCATGCTACAGGCACGCCAAGCATCAGCCTTTCTGCTTTCACATCTCAGAAACGGCAGCCAAACGCTACGGACATGAACAAACATTAATCTTCATCAGCTCCTGAATAGCATGTTCCTTCTCCTACTAACAACCAGGATCATTTCAATTTTAAATTTTGTACCATGTTTTATTTTTACACCTCACAAGAATGCTCTTCTGGAGTGATATTTATGAGATAATCTTCTCCCCGCCTTTATTAACCCTCTGCTAGTCCCTCCCTGTTCATAGCTCCTGTCAGCAGCTACTAAGTCAAACCCTTGGACCCCCGAGGTTTGCATTGCCCAGCACACCAGTAGGGATCAGCCGCATGTCTGTCCGTCCGGAGCCAAACCCTGCCTCTCCGACCAGGGAAAAGCTCTACCTCCTCTGTTATTTTGCAGCTCTTCGAATGTGTGGGAAGAGCTCAAATATTTTTTCACTGGCCATGAAAAATCTTGGTGGCCAAAAAGAAACTCTCGCTACTTCTAGAAAGTGATTTAATCTCATACAGAAAAAAGCTGTGTTTGGTCCCATTCCTTGTCCTTCAGTGCAGTACAGAGAGGGGAGCAAAAGGGAGGCACCTTTGAGTGTGGCAGCAGGGGAATTCTGAATGCTGACGCCTGCCCTCCCTGGACCAGGACGGATATTAATGAGCTACAGCTAATTAAACCTATCAGAAACAGCTTTTTGCAGGATCAGCAAACAAATCAAATAGGCTATATCACAGCTATCCCAGAGGGAAAAAATAACACGCTCCCTGTTGTATATGAAATGCTTTTCTCTGGAAAGTCTTGTGTTTTACATAAAAGCAAATGTATGTGGGAGAATATTTTGTGTAGCTCTTAGGCTTCTATTTGCCCTTTCCTGTCAAAAGGAACAAGTCTGCCCCTACTGCAGTCCACGAGCATCAGCCCACCTAGAGTTCCCCAGCTGACCTGTGGATGATGTGCCTGCTCTGGAGATAGTCGAGGGCCAGCACCAGCTCGCAGATGAAGAGTTTCACGGTGCCTTCTTGGAACCGCACGTTTTGTTGGAGATGGTAACGCAGGTCCCCTCCAAGCAGCAGGTCTACAACCATAAACATATCTTCTTCGTCCTGGAACGAGTACCTAAAATGGCATAAGCATGGTTGAAGGGTGATAATATTAAAAAAAAGACAGGCTAAAAAGGGAAATAGGGTACCTCTGGGAATACTCATAATTTCTTGGAACTTTTTCACTTGGTAAATAATAATTTCATGACCTTCCCATGCTCCGTTTCCCGCTGCGACTAAAGTCCTACCACCTATATTCTCAAAATAATTCACATGACAATAATTTAGCTTCAGATCCATAACCAAGTCAGTGCAGCTTGTATGAACAACTACCAGCAGGCCCACTAGAAGAACAGGAATCCAATGTTTTTATGTCGACCTTGTTACTATCAGCCACTTCAAAAACAAAGCCACATCCAAACCCATTACTCTAACACAGCTTGCTCCTAATTTCCTCCCCCTAACAGTTGTGAAGGGAGATGGGCAGGGGTCTGGCAGGTGGGCACAGCTCTCAGGCGTGTTTATCATGGGATACGAGTGGCCGTGACTGATAGCATAGACCAGAAAGGGCCCAGGAGGTGTGGACCATGCATTTTTATTTCAGGGAGGACCTCATACCAACGTTTTACTGCTTGCTTCCTGAATTGCCAGGCTCGTTTGCTCAGCAATTAACACCTGGTGCCAGCAGCTATGAGTTAATGAAACGCTTCCACTTAGGACGTGTGAGGAGGAAGATGGTATCGTTGCCACCCACAGCACACCATCAGGAGAGGCTGG